TCATTTTACAGAGAATGCCCGGAGCGTGCGTGTAGCCGTATAAGAGTCCTAATGGATTAATGTAAATTGGGCTGTTCAGAATGGTTTTCCGTGTTGAGCTCAGATGTTGAATCTATATTATAATATATTTTCGTTTCATTCTCTATGTTACATCATATAAAAAATGTAAAGTATCATCCTATAAATATCATGCTTGGTAGAGGCCTCCTCTGGTCCATCGGGGCATAGTCCACAACGCGACCCTACTGCGGATGGGCGGACATCACATATTTTCGAAATATTTTGTTTTGTTATTATTTCAAAATATGTAGGAAAAGTACGAAAAGATAGTCGCCGCTGTGGGAATCGAACCCACGTCTTCCGAATTCGCGGCCTGACGCTTTACCCACTAAGCTAAACGTCTGATGGCCACACCGACGAAAATCTTAACGTCCTTTATCTACACTGTTTTTTAGCTTTTTGAAGCAATGCTTGGCGCATCCATTGTTATATACTTTCCAGCATACAAACAATTTCGAATATCGTTTTACAATGATAATTCGAACGAGAGATGTCACCAGTTGCTTGTTAGAAATTTAAATTGTTTTTAGCGCTAATCTTTGCACTTAAGATTGAATATTAAATTTTCAATTAATTTTCGATTTAATTTTTGTTGCGGGATTGGAGTACAAAGCCGGTATATAATATAATCTTCACTTTATTTACATACACTTCAAGAGGTGTGACGGCCTTCTTGTTGGCGGACAAGTTCTCCACTAACACTCCTTAAACTTCTATCGCCTTGATGTTTCTTCTTTTTCATTACAGATTTTCTTGATTCCTTTCCTTCACTTTCTTCTTCTTCTTTCTACTTTAAGTTTAAGTTTTACCCCTAAACTGCCTTCTAGAACACTCCTTGCCCACATATGGCCGGATATCGATGAATAATAATAATTATTGTCTCTCAAAACTGTCAAAACGAGACACTTACCTTACGTATGTACCGTTACAATAAAGATATCAATCGAGTAATTGTAACAATGCATTTTTTTAGTCTTCATTTTTAACAAATTGTGTAAGGTGACTTGAGGTTTATATTATAAAAGCAAATATATTTTATATAAATAATTCATTGGTAATTTTAAATTGCCAATTATATTATATACAAATACTAGGTAGATATGACACTAGGGCACCGAAACTGAGGCATTAAAACTACGCCAATAGATTGGTGTAATTTAAATTTTCATATTGCTAATCTCTGCACTTAAGATTAAACTTTAAAATTTGTAGAAAATGTACGAAAAGTCTCTAGCCGCTGTGGGAATCGAACACTAGTATTCGTCTCAGCCCTCTGAGAAATATAAAAATAAAGTACACGCTCTACTACTATACGAATTTTCTGTAGGGACGTTCGAACTTTTACATTTAAAGTGATGAATTGTAACAAGAATGCTATGTGAATCACAGGAATATTGTATCACGAATGCTATGTGACTCCGCACACGAATTTCAAGTTGCATAGCTAGAAAAATAGCTATAACAGAAACAATAACGGTTGATAGTCAGTGCAACGTAATTTGCGACACAGCGTCCTCCAACCCGATAACCAACCGTAACACAGCTAATCACGATACATTGACACGTAACTGGAGCGAAATTTACGCGCTTTCCGAAATTAATTACGCTGTTAATATTAACAGTGGAATGGAATTTAATTTCCACTCGTGTGTCAAGATGACAATTCTATGATTGGTATGAACAATTTTAGTTATATATACAAAGTGAAATGACGAAACAGATGAAACACAGCAAGCATTTCTTCGTTTTTATTTCGACTAGGCTCGAGTTCAGTTTTAATCACTTTCTTGTAATATAAAATATTTTCATGTAAATATAAATATTTGATTCGCATTTTTTTTATTTGAATGCACATGTTCTGTCATCTTTATACGAAATAACGCCGTGGCGCAGTTGCCAGGGTATTATTGGCTTCGGCGTCGGGTTTCGTGGGTTCGATCCCCACACGGGACAACTATTTGTGTGACCCACAGATAATTGTTTCGTATCTGGGTGTTTGTCCGCTTGAAATTTATGTTTGCAAATAGTCCTTACAACATAGGATAATGTAAGTAATAACATTAAAGTAAGGGCAAAGTTTTTAAAACAAACACAAAAAAAAATTGGAATAGAATTACAAATTTTACTTTTTAAATTGTGAGCACACTTTAAATCAGCCCAACCACTACATCAGGTTTGATAGACCACAGATCCTTGCAAAAGAACACCGATTCTTCCCAAGGATGATTCGCGAGGCTATTGAAATTAAAAAACACCCTAATTTCAATAGAGAAGAGGGTCGGGTACTACCATCAGCTTGGGATCCTGTCATCAATAAAATTATATCTAGACCTAAACGAACCACTACTGCAAGACAAGATACAATTAGCTCCCTCTGCATAGATCGGACACAAAATTAATAATTCAAAAACTGACGGTAGCCTTTTTTTTTTTTTTTTTTTTAACGATGGGAAATGCATCATGCATACTCTCCTTAGGGGAAGCAAGGAGAGTTATGTTGGACTCCCGCTCTGAGAAGGGCAGACCTACCAACTAAAACCCATCGGGTGTCCTCCTCTGCCGTCAAATGCTGGATTGCAGGGCCCGCTTAAGCGATTCTGCTGCAACCCAGCCACGGCTACCCCGACCCTGCACAGGGCTGGGGCACACCACGAAGGGACTTTTGTCCCCGTTCTCCACATGAGTGCCCATGACACCAGTGGGCACTTAGTCTTCGCGGGGCCTCATACCGTTAGGTGACAGACGTCCCCACGTCTGTCACCCGGAGGCCCATTAGGGCGGGAGACGGCGCTCGTGTGCCGCCCGCCTTCTCCCCATGCGACGTCGCCGGATCGGGTCGGAAGAAGCATTCTCCTCCCTCTCCCTTTCGGCGGCCTCCTTCTGTAAAACGACTATCTCGCAGAAGGAGGCCATCGCCCTCCACGCCGCCCTGCTGTCGACCATTGTTCTAAAGATGGCCGGCAGCGAGAGATCCGACCCGACGACGTCACGGAGCCGCCCTCGCGGCTCCTCCCACGCCGGGCATTCCGTCATCGTGTGCTGCGCCGTATCGTCGGCGCAGGCACAATGGTGGCACCTTTGGCTCGGTTCCCTCCCGATAGCGTGCAGGTAATGACCGAAGCATCCATGCCCAGTCATCACCTGCACCATCCGGAATGACAAACTGCCATTTCGGGAACCGATCCACTTCTCCAGGACAGGCCTAATGGCCTGTGCCACTCTATGTCCGGCAGTGGGAGCCGCCAAACGTTCCTGCCAGGTGCGCATCAAAATGATGCGCGCCTGGCGTCGCCACCTTGCGATTCGTTCGGTGGAAACGTTATCGCCGCACCCCTTCGCCTCAGCGACTCGGCGATATACCTCCGCGAGGACTTTAGCCTCTAAGTCCCATGGTGGGGATCCCGCCAAAGCACACGCCGCCTCGCCGGCCACTGTGCGGTAGCCGCGTGTAGCCCTGAGTGCCATGGCGCGCTGCGGTCGTCGCAGCAACGCTCTATTCGTGGCACTCAAGGCATCCACCCACACAGGAGCTCCGTAGAGGGCCATCGATCTGATGACCCCCATGTACAGGCGGCGGCAGACCGACCCTGGTCCCCCCACATTAGGCAAGAGGCGTCCAAGAGCAGCGGATGCCTTTAACAGATTCGGTGTCAGCCGGCGAAAGTGAGCGGCGAACGTCCACCGTCCGTCTAGGACGAGTCCGAGATACTTCATCTCGGACTCGACCCGGACCTCCACTTCTCCGATCCGGAGTGGTGTGCCTGCAGCCAGCCTCCTTCTAGGTCCATGGAAAAATAGGGCCTTGGTTTTCTCAAGGGCCACCCGTAGGCCTTGAGCTCTGATGCGGGACACCACTAGTCCCACACCGACCACCGCCAGCTGGGTCGCCTCCTGATGCGTCGCGCCGCGAGCAAGAACGAGTGTGTCGTCAGCATAGCAGACAACACGAAGCCCGCGCAGCAGGGCACCACGGAGTACCCTGTCGTAGCCGATGTTCCACAGGAGTGGGCCAAGGACCGATCCCTGTGGAACACCGCACCACGTTTCCCTCTGTACGAGGACGCCATCGCGCCCTACACACACAACAACGCTCCTTCCCCGTAGGTACGCCACAATAAATGCACGCAAGTACCGGGGGAGTCGGTGGTATCGGAGGCCCTCCTCGATGGTAGCGAACGGCAGGGTATTGAATGCGTTTGCGATGTCAAGAGACACCGCCAACACCACGTTGCCGTTTGCCGCCTGCTCCTCCGCATACCCCTTGACACACAATATGGCGTCTATTGTGGAGCGCGATGGTCGGAACCCGTATTGGGCGTCGGACAGGTCAGGACCCTCGCGCATCATATGACGTATGATGCGCGAGGCGACCACCCTCTCCAACAGCTTACCGGCCTCGTCCAACAGGATGATTGGCCGGTAAGCCGAGGGCGATTCTTCAGGGCGTCCCTCCTTACGAAGGAGAACAACCCTGCCCGCCTTCCAACACTGCGGGAACTCTCCACGCCGAAGGCAAGCGGTGAAAAGCTCCCTCAAGCGTTCCTCTAGGGGCCCCAAGGCCAAGACCAGAGCCCTGCCGGGCACACCATCGGGGCCAGGGGCCGTTTTGCGCCCACGAAGCCGCAGAAGTGCGGCTCCCATCTCACCCTCGGATACCAGAGGCACCTCCTCGGTGGTTTCCGGCTCAGGCACCGGTGGGATAACGCCAGTTGGGGCCGGGAACAACGCCTCCAGCACCGTGGCCAGCCGTTCCGGTGGAATAGAATCAGCAGGCGGCGGACCCCGACCAAGCTTGCCCCTGGTTGCTCGGTATGGACGACCCCAGGGATCGCGGTCCAAGCCCGCGAGGAGCTCACCCCAGGCAGTGTCTTTGGCCCTCAGGATGGCCAGCTGCAAGGATTTTTTGGCGTCGTGATACGCCCTCTGCAGATGGTCATTCAGTTCCTCATTCCGAGGCCGCCGCCGCCGCTGTCGTTGGAACTTCCGGCGGGCGGCGACACAGCGTCGCCGAAGATCCGCAATGTCAGGTGACCACCAGTACACCTGCCTCTTTTGAGGTCTTTGCCGCACGCGGACCATGCAGGCATCGCAGACCCTGGTGATCGCGCTGCGGAAAACACATCGCCTCCTCGTCCGTCGTCCCCGGAGGCGGGGAGCTCCAGGACTCGACGATGGCGGCCTCCTTCAGCAGGTCAACGTCCAACCCCGCGAGGGCCCATCGCGGAAACGTTGAGGCCATCGCAGGGAAGGCGGGGACCAACTGCATCCCTCTGGAGGAGGAGACGCTGAAGCGGATATATAAGTGATCCGACAGCGTCTCCACCTCCCCCATAACTCGCCAATCTCGTACTGCCTGAGCAAACGCCGGGCTCGCAAAGGAAAGGTCTACAATGGACCCCCCTTGGACCCGAACACAGGTTTGTGATGTGCCGCAGTTGAGAAGTGCCAACCCAGATTCCGTGGCCCAGTCTTCAACCGCAATCCCCCGCACGTCTGTGGCAGGCGATCCCCAAGCCGTATTCTTGGCATTAAAGTCGCCCGCCACAATTACCGGTCGAGGTGCAACTCGCCTAATGACCGCCTGCATATCACCGAGGAGCGTCTCGAGTTCAGCGAGGGTTTTGTTTGGGGAAAAATACACCGAGAATATTGTGTATTTCCCCCAGTCGGCCGCCACAAAACCATTTCCCCTCTCTTTGACGGAAAGGGGCGTGGTACCATCTGGAACATAGATGGCCGCCGTGCCCGTAGCATCCCCTATCCAGTTGGCGGGTATGCAATAAGGCTCCGCTACCACCGCCAGTCCAATTTGCCATTGCGCCAGTGCCTGGAATAATAGATCCTGGGCACCGGCGCAATGGTTTAGGTTTATCTGGAGGAAATGTCTATCCCTATCCATTATTAGAGTCGACACACATTTCCTCTTGTCGGGACGAATCCCGATCCACCTGCTGGGATGCCGGGGTCCTGCCGGCTTTTTTCCCTTTTTTCGGTGGGGAGCAACCCTTAGCCCCCACCGAGTGCTCAGCTGGCCTACCTGCAACTGCGCATACTGCGCAGTGGGGTTTGGCTAAGCATGCCGCTGCTTTGTGTCCAGAAGCACTGCAGCGATAACAAATATCGCTGCGGTCCACCTCCGAAGTGCACTGGAGTCGCGTGTGCCCGATTTCTAGGCATCGGAAGCACTTCATAGGGCGCGGCTCCAGGGACTCGACGTGCACATAGCTCCAGCCAATCCTCATACTCCGAGCTGACACCAGGACCTTAGCAGCTGCCACTGGACATTGCACCCAGATGCAGCCAGTGCCCCGGCGGCCCTCCCGAATTTCGCCCGCCTTGACGTGGTCAAGGGGACAGGCGGCTGCAGCGACAATCGCAGCGAGCACCTCATCCCTGGTGACGGAATCATCCAGGCCAGTAAGACGCAAATCCGCGCACTTCACCGGCCTGGCGATCCGTGCTTCTCCGGCGAGGACCTCACGGAGCTTCGCGGCGAAACTGTCCGCTGCTTCGCTCGTGACCCCTGCTGGAAGCTCGAGAACTCGAGCTCCCGTGGCCGCCTGCCTTATTTTCAGGCCTGCCGGGATGTTCAAGGCCGTCAGATCTAACCTCTGACGGGCTTTGGTGAGAACATCACTATACGTAACCCCCTTTTCGACGGCATCGTGCTGTAGTGTGATTACTACAGCTGCCGTCGTAGGGGCACGTAGTTTGCGGGCTCTACGCCTCCGCTTCTTTTTATTAGCGGCGGCTGGCGTCGCAGTGGCCACAGCGGGTCTTGATGCCGTACCGGACTTGGGCACCGCAGCGGATCCCGTTGCGACCAATGGGGGCCTCGGCACCGTAATAGATTTCACGGCGGCCGTAGGTGGCTTAGGCGTCGCGACGGGCTTAGCCACAGACTTCTTTGGCTTGGCGGAGATGGAAGCCGACATCTGCACGTCAAGCGCGGGCGCTGTCTTCTTTCCCTTCCCCTTTCCCTTCCGTACCACTGCACTCCACGTCTCTCCCAGAGAGGTAGGGGTGGGATCTGGTGCCGATGAAGGCCCAGGTTCGGCGCTACGCCTATCCGCAGCCAAAGGCGGCCTCAGGCGCTTCTCCGGGAGCAAGCGCTCCTCGAGAGCCTCGAATCGCGCGCTGATCATCGTCCCTACTTGGGATAGTACATCACGCGCGATATGCTCAGCCTGCAGTGTTGGTGCCGGCGTCCGTTCCTGGGCTGGGCGAGCCGCCTTCTCTATACTGAGACGCATGCTAGCAACCTCCTTTTGGAGCGTCGCCACCTCGTCCCGCAGCCGTTTGTTGTCGGCCTGGAGGCGGCGGGTTTCATCAGTCGATGATATGCTCTGTAGACCGTTCACCGCCTCCCGGATCATCTCAGCCGCTTCCTTAAGGGCTTTTACAAAAGTGCCCTTCAGGTTCTTTGATTTCGTAGCGACTTTGGTGATGACTTTAATGCCATCATCGACCCTCTCAAGCAGGGTCGAAGAAAGGCGAGAGTCGACTACGTCGTCAAAGCCAGCGGGGCGCAATGCTCTATCGAGCCGGCGCCTTTGGATCAGCTCTGGAACCTCCTTCTCCGCCTGGAGCTCCATCTCTGCCCTCCTGGCTTCCATGAGCTCCCGCTTCCCTTTCGCCAGCCCCAAATACTGCCCACTATTGGGCGGGCGGCCTCTACCCCTTTTAGGCACAGGGGTGCCTCTCCTTTTGAACGCCGAAGATTCCGGATGATCATCTGCTTCGGCGTCTGCATCCGAGGCGCGAGTGCGCTTCTTGCGCACTCTCTGGGCCTCTCCGCTACCCATACTGGCGAAGCTAGCGTTGCTAGCTACGCTTTTTTCCAATTCCAGGCTCATTTCAGAGCCAGAATCTGACGCGGATATACCGCCTACCTCCTCTAAACTCCCTACTGTGGTTGATGTCAAAGGGCCATCCTCCTTTCTTTGGGTATCACAGCGTTCGAGCTGTACGCCTAACTCCTTAAGAACGTCATTTCCTTTTAGATTTTTCTTTTCCATTTTTATTCCCACGAGTTGGGACGATATAGATGCACTCCCCGGGTTACGCCCATTCCGGTCGACTAAAAAGTGGAGTGGGGTACATACTGTGGAGGTCCCCAGGTATCCACAGGTTTTAACGAGGGTTCTCTCGGGCTTTATAGGGTTTTCCTTCCCGCGGGCCGGCCAATTAAGGCAAGCCCTCCGACCAGCGACACAGAAGCACTCACACATATACACACCCAAACACATACACATACACACACACAAATACCCACACAACATCTCCAACTGGAGCCACCAGAAGGGTCGTTGAAGTGAGTCGCTGGTTGCGGAACGAGGAGTTGGCGAAATCTCCTCCGACGGTGGCGTCAGACGCACTGAGATTAGTCAGCGCGCCGACCCGTCCTCCTAGGCCCTATCCGATGTGTTCTCTGCTGATGAGAGAATCACACGGAGAGCCCCTCCTTGTGCTGCTCTTCGTCTGGTCCCTCGCTCCGAGCCTGTCCGGTATGGGAGACCCTATCCGGCATAGCCTTGGAGGTCATTAGGACACGCAAGCCCCTCCACCACAACAAGGTGGCAGCACGACGGGGGGAACTGACGGTAGCCTGGGTTAACCTGTCTCAGTCTGTTCCGTGACCATGAACGCTGTAAAGGGTTCGAAAAGTCGGGAATTAGAATTAAAAAAAAAAATTTACGCGATAAATCCGTAAAATTAGTTTCATTTATAATGTGTAATTATTAAATTTTACTCCTTCAATATTTTTGTAATAACATGCCTGTCCATGTAGGTACAACATATTTTGTGAATACCCTACACCCACCAGTTTTCTGTTCGTATAAGCTCTTGCAACTTTTTCACATAAAAAAAGAAACACTTAAAAAATCTGCCATTTGTAATCACACTTTGCCACCCGAACGTTCGTTTAGATAAGCCCTGAATCCTTACAAAGGAGCACCGCTCGAACCAAAGTTAAAAAGTAAAGTAACAGCCTATACATGTCCCACTGCTGGGCAAAGGCCTCCTCTATAGAGAGGGTGTCAGGGCATAGTCCACCACGCGGCCCAACTGCGGGTTGGCGGACTTCACATATCTTCGAAATATATATTTTTTTGTTATTATTTCGAAAATATGCAGGTTTCCTCACGATGTTTTCCTTCACCGCGGAGCAAGTTAAAAACTTCATTGGTGCCGGCACCGGGGATCGAACTCAGGTTGCTCGAGTATATTGAATTAAAGGCGAGCGCCCGGACACTGAGCTATCACGGCAAAGTTAATACGCGAAGGTATTTAAATAAAGATGAAAGAAAAAAAAACAACAGAAGACGATTTGTGTTACTTGAATCAATGGATTATTTACCTATTCCCGTTTTATTATAGCGATTCCAACTTCCACTTGGATAGACAAACGGAACCTAATGTATTCCACAAACGTTAAAAAAAACTATTATAGAAACGAGGTTTCGCCAAACGCATAGTCCTAAGCAAACAGCTCCTACGCAAACTTCAAATGAAGTCAGGTTTGTCGGCGTTCAAACAAATGTTACTCATCTGTGTCAAATATCTGTTTTATTTGTTAACCGATATTTGACAACGATTGTTTCACTTGAGATTCTAGAGCAGCAAATTAACATCGTGACATACACACGCAGTATTGAATAAAGAAAAAAAGTCTAAAATATTCACCAAAATCCTAGCAGAATACAAAAGAAAGATAAAATTACAGCGGAAACAGTGGCGCTTGGTATGGTGTTAAGTGAAGGCGTTTCTTAGCGGCGAGTTTCTAAGTTAAAGAAGTTAACTAAGTTAGTTCTAAGTTAAGTTAAAGTACCCTAGTTTACTATATTATTTCTTTTATTCGAAATTGGCCAGTGCTTTACTGCCATCCCACCTGGTGGTAATTTGTGATGCAGCCGTTGATGGTAAGCCCGCTGGCTCAGTAAAAGCCTATTTACTCTCTTCTAGACGCCTACGTTTTAATCGGAAGGCAAGACGGACGCCGGCAGGTTGTTCCATTCTGTAGCTGACCGGATGATGAATGAAGAAGCAGATCGCGACGTTCTTTTGCGTGGTACGTCGACAGAGAAAGGATCCTCGCCAAACGCAACTTACATAAGCTTATATAAACTTATGTAAAGGTTGTATTCAGTTTTGCAGACCTAATAAAGAAAAAAAAAAAGTCTGGTTGTCCGATGAAGGAAAGGGGGGGGGGGGGGGGGGGGGAAAAGTGAATCCAACGCACACTCTCCAAAATGAATCCTGTAGAAAAACAAGAGGCTGGCTACTCTGCGGTTGTGCATAAATTTGTTATATTATCAGTGCTCTAATGTAAAAATTATTCTTTAAATAAGGATGACAATGCTACTTGTATGGTTCGGTTAGTATGTGTTAAGAATATGAATTAAAGAAACTATTCTAAAAGTTTGAATGAATATGCTATGCGAGGTTTTTCCTAAAAGACTACTCAAACATTTGAAATGTATATTTTTTTTAGTCAAAAATTACTTCACTGGATTTTATATTGTTTTAAACACTTTATCAGCTAAATTTTATCAGCGGTTCACCAATGTAGATCTGTTTCACCGCCCGTGTGAATGTAAATTATATTTCATTCTTTTTTTTTATAGTGCCAATTAAGATGACAAATATCCTTTGACTTTGACAAGCTAAACGGCTGATTTCCAAACCAACTAAAATCTCAGGGTCTTTTATTTACATTGTTTTATATTATATTGCTAGACACAAGTCTATATATATGATTGTTGTGTGTGTACGATTGATACATTTATTATTACAGTTTAAATTTAATTCCTTTCTATCACCTAAAACTGACCTAAGTTGCGAAAAGTAATTAAGTGTAGAAGAAGAACACACTTCAAAACTCAGTTAATGATTGACGACACTAAGATGTGTAAATGTTACTGTACAGATGACTGATTGTAAGCCAGAGGGTAAGTAGATTGCGAAAATATGAATAGAAATATTATAAATTCATATATAATTAAACTTATTTGAAAATAAGCAAAAATTTTGATCCAAATCACTAGTTATCAAACTAATTTACAAATTCACACCTGGTGTATGAATCGTAGCGAAGGTGTATAATGCAGGGGTCAAATAAAAGCGATTGAACAAACCGCTTCAGCAGCAATGAAATTTTATGGTAATGGAACTGTCGGGAAAGCATTATCGTCAATACGCATTAGAAAATTTATTAGGAGTAATTGCCTATTTTGCATTTTCGTTGCTATACGAAACCGAACGATAGCGATTGCTCTACTGTGACCAAAACAATTAATATTAGAAATATTAAAAGAGCCCTGTCTATGATTTATTTTTGTATATTTCCAGTGTCATCTCAGTTTTCGTTCATAAAATAAGATCAAAATTGCAGTCAATTTGAAGTTTTAAAGTTTGTCAATCAGTTCAAAGTATATTTTCAATTCAGAAATTGATTTGCACGAATATGCCTTCTATATAAACAGACACGCAGAGTAGCCAGCCTCTCGTTTTTCTACAGGGTGCATTGGAGCTGCACGATTTGATTCCTCTCTTTGATTATAAAATCAGCAGTCGAAAAGATTTAAGTTCAATTCTTTGATGACAATCTGAACAAAATATTTTGATAATAAGAAAGAAAAACATTTTGAAGGTTACATATCTATCTCTAAACGATTTCACTTTTTCCTCCCTTCCTTATATGGCTGGGACTTATTTCAGAGATCTTCGACCAATATAAGAGATTGTAGCAAAAGAATAACCAGTTCGAGTCCGAGGCGGCTACCATCTCTATAATACCCTAGTAGTTAGCTTTTAAACAGGGCTACTTATAGAGCTTATCTTTTGCTTTTTTCTAGCAAGATAAAAAATTCTATTTGATATTTTAACAAATTGTTTAATATTTCAATTTGTTAATTGGCATCAATAGAAAGATATAGTTTAAAAAGAAGCATCAAGAAAACGTTAACATAAAAGCTCAGGAGAAATAAAACGGCTTAAGTTAACATAAAAGCCCAAGAGAAATAAAACGGCATGTGGGCTATATAATAATGAGGGGTGTCGCCAGCTGTGATCAGGTTTAAAGAGGTTTATCGAGTCATACATTTGAATTAGATAAACCTTAATTGTTTCGATAAATTTAGGCTTTATACGGAGCAATTAATTAGGCAAGGTATTTGGTATTCGATATTAACTGTGTACTAATGTAAATGACCTGTGCACAGCAGCTGCCTGATTTTCTAGAAATGTAATTTTAATGGTAAATTAAATGTAAAATTTATGTATAGTGAGTTTTAATTAGTATTCTTATTAAAGTTCTATTAACATCCGTATCCATGACCCATTTTAGTTGGAATTCCTAAAAAGGGGGTTTTATAAGAGTAGTCCAATCTAGAGCATATTAAATTAGAGGGTCAATGGCGTAAATCATATTGAATCAGAGGATATAGTGATCGCAATTCATAAGATAAAACGGGAAGTGTTTAAAATTAATTAAAGGAAATAATGTGACGGGGCATACTTAACATGTTTCGTAGCCTGTCCCAAACATGACTTAATAAGCTTTTATGATGCCATTACGCTTTATTGGTAAGGTTAGAGAACACCAAGAAAACAATAAAATTTCAAGAACATCGTAATCATAGACTTTGATACATTAACATAAACATGTTATATTAATAGAGGAATAAAATATGTTATGCAAATTATTTGACTTCCTCTTGAGAACTTCGTGAAATAATTATTTTCTTGCACAAATCACACATGAGTAGTACAAATTAAATTTAGATTTAGTAACGCATCTGCAACCTTGCGGGTGTTGCAAATGTCGATGGGTGGCGGTCATCAATTAGCATCAGCTGAACTGCCTGCTAGTTTGCCACCTTCTCACTTAAAAAAAATATTAGTTGTAATTGCGATAAATCGCTGAAGAGCGTAACTTGATTCGTATCCCATAACGGAAGTGTTCCTCTGGGAACTTTCAGTGCAATATGATGCCAATAAGTAACATTAAATTTTA